TACCCCTGGAAGCAAAGGTGAGAGTCTGAGTGGACCCTCCTTTCCCAGAAGTGGAGCTCTCATTTCAGATGAAGGTCGACCCAATGGTGAGGGACCATTTGGGAAATGCTCTCTGCCAATGGCTGTATTTGAAACATGAAGTGCAGAAGGATCTTTTTTAAATTTAAACTCATTTTTGGTGAAGTTTTGACTGTCGTGAGCCTCTTGTTTCTCTAAATCATGGAGGTATCTTTCAGCCCTCTGAGCGGCCCACTCATTATCTTGTGCTTTTTCCTCATAATGTGTAATCTGCCCCTGATAAAAATAAGTGGTTCTCTCTAATTCTTCTTCAAGGTATTTGACCTGCTTTCTATAGGTCTTAAGCTGTTCACTTGCATGGCTGATGTTTTCCTCCATTTTGAAAAGTTTCTCCTCTTGCACTACCCGGTCATTTTCCTCTTCTGTTACTTTCCTCTGGAGTTTCCTTACAATGGGTTCATATACTTCAACGATGAGTTTAAGTTTCTGCTCAAGATGCTGATTCTCACTTTCAAGTTGTGTATTTTTGGACTGCAAAGATGCTTGTTCTGTCTTAAGATTTTTAATCTCTTCTATAAGGTCTTCCTTTGTTTCAACGACTTCAGATACTAAAGTAAAAACTTGATTTCTTTCTCCTTCTAAGATTTTAAAAGAGGAATTTAACTTATCAGCATAAAGCTGTTTCTTCAAATCTCCATTTGGCTGATCCTCTAAGTGAGCACTGATTTCTGACTCACTTTTCATTTCCAAGTCCAAGTTACCGTCGTCTGTTAGGGCTTCTTCAAGCCCAGGAGCACAATCTTTCAGCAAGTGTTCAGACAGAGACTTAATGTGATTTTCTTTCTCTCTTAGAACTTGTTCTTCATGTTCTTTGGGGTCTTCCAGTATTGTTTTCTGTTTATTAAGGCCATTCACTTCTTCTTCCCATACTTCCGCTTCATGTAAAAGCTGTTTCGGACTTTCCAGGAGTTGGGAATTTTCATTTGAAACTTCTTTGATTGGTACCTTCAATCCTTCTGCATTCAGTTGAAATATTGTTAAGGTTGTTGCAGCTTCAGGTATATGTGATCTGACAGATTTTAATTCCTCTTCTAGGGACTTAATCGTTTTTGATATATACTCTATCAATTCATTCTGTTGAGAATCTTTAATTTTCTCTTCTTTTAGCTCATTTTCTAGAAAGAGTATTTCATCCTCAAATTTAGATATGGACCTATCCAGGTTTGTGTGTATTGCCTCCAAATTTTCCACTTGTATTGACTCCTTCTCCAAAATGGCATTCTTTAAAGATGACTCTAAGTCTTCATATTCTTTTTGAACAAGACTGACTTTTTCAAGTAGTCTACATTTTTCCTCAATTATTTCAGA